TACCCAGAAATTGGGGCTTTTATTTTTGCTTCTTCGGTTTTTTTCCCTTTCTATCTAAAGAATACAAAATGATGATGTTATAATGTGGTCCTCTATTTAGTTTATCTCAGAGCTACTTGTGAAATTCTAATAAAATAGCTGACGTTTCACAAAAAACTTCTGAACTCAATTCAGAAGTTCTACTTTAGAATTTAATGCTAATGATGGCCTAATCCCAGCATAGCAGTTCAGTCTGACGATCCTCTTTGCTTACTTTGTGTTTTTGCTCACTCTTGCTGCTAAAGGAAAAAGAAAAGTATCAATTTTCTTTTGGTGGTTTGGTTTTAGAGTGATGAGTCATTATGATTTTAGTTCTGTTTGACTATTTATATAGCATAATTTATGTAATCTCAAAAAATAGGTGTATTGCATTTTTGCCTTGGATACTATTAGGGACTTAGCCAAATGTTCTAAAATGAATAATCCTGTGTATAATTCACTTTCTTATTTTTTGAATGAGAAAATCAAAAGCTAAAAAAGTTTTTGGCCAACTTAAATATATAAACTTTTAGGGATGAAGATGAACTAACCAAATGTCATGTTTCATGAGAGAATTCTATTTAGACATTTCACATGTACTTTAGATATCAGCATGTTCATAATTGCTATAGAAGCTCTAAAATGGTTTTTCTAGAGCACATTAGCTTCATTTTTATCCAATTTGTTTAAAAAGACTTTCTTCTTTTTAAATATTCAATTAAAAATTTTAAGTTAATCATTTTTTTTATCCTTAGGGTCTGGTGTATTATGCCTCAAATATAGCAGGGAAGCAGTACATGTTAATGTCATGGTTGGGATTTGATTTTACCCTACTTACAAGTTAACAAGCTGTTATTATTTCTTGGATGCTGGCCAAAAACACAGGCTCCTAGATCTGACAAGGACTTTATTTGGCCCCCTTGCCGTGGAGTGGTGTGGTACGGCTCAGTTGGGTCCCTTGCATGTGGTGGGTTTGCATTGCAGCTGAGGAACACAGAGCTGGGGGAATCCACCTCTTTTATAGCAAACATTAAACAAGCCTGCTCTTTTTCCTGGAGGGAGACATTATCTCATCCCTCAAGGCTGCTCACTGCAGACAACTCTGAGAAATGGCCCAGGTAAAGAGCAGTTAGGGCGTTGCATTCTTGGAATGCCCAGTAAGAAAATCCAGAGACACTCAGGGCCTGTGGTGATTCTGTCTTCCAACAGGTGACTTGAAGGAATAAGTGAACAATGTTTTACTCTGGCAATACTTTGTGACTGACACAGTTTACTTTCCCTTCTTTCCAGGAATCATTAAAACCAATAGAACAAAAGCTGTATTTTATTCAAATGAGGCCTCGTAGAGGTTTATTTACAGAAAACTTAACGCCTGTTAACTACGATGTATTTTTTCACATGTTAAAGCACTGTTTTGGGAAGCGCAGTGCCAGGCTAATAGACCACTTACAGTAAGTACAAAGAATAAAAGCAAGTATAAAAGTAGCAATTTAATGCAAGAATTATTCTTTCATGTTAGAGGACCATTTTTCACATCTTGATTTACAGAGTGAAATATGTTTTCGCTCATATTTCTTCAAAATACTTCCTTCTCCCTGGTGTACATTTTGAGAAAAATATATTTTCCACATAATCTCCCACTGAACTGCATTTATTTTCCTTCTTTGAACAACACCCAGGGTTGCCTACAAGTGGTTTTATCTTTGTCAGAGTATAGGCTCTGGTTTAACCTGTAGGAAGCACCAGCCGGAGTGGAGAAAGTTCCATTACTGGAGGCATGCCCACCTCCGACCTGTCATTGCCTGTCTTTAGTAGCTCCGTTTCCTAACCAAAGCAGGGATGGATTATTATACTACCCTGGTTCTCTTGCCTTGGACCAAATTTTATGTTTTTACCTAAAGCTTTATAAAAATTATACTTGTTAGCCAGGTGCAGTAGCTCACACCTGTAATGTGAACACTTTTGGACGCACAGGCAGGAGAATTGCTTGAGGCCAGGAGTTCAAGACCAGCCTGAGCAACATAGCAAGATCCTGTCTCTCTACAAAATGTAGAAGAGAATAGCCGGGCATGGTGGCGCATGCCTGTTGTCACAGCTACTTGGGAGGCTGAAGTGAGAAGATCACTTGAGCCCAGGAGTTTGAGGTTGTAGTAAGCTATGATGATGCCACTGCACTGCACTCTAGCCTGGGCAACAGAGAGAGAGAATTCTAAAAAAAAAAAAAGAAAGAAAGAAAAAAAAATTATTGCTGTTACTATGTGCTTTGTGTATATATGAGTATAATTTTTTATATAGGGCTGATGTGTACATTTCTGTAAATTGTGCATTGCACCTTGTAATCAGCAGCCCATGGTCATTCAAAATATTGAAATGTTAAAACAGTTATTTGAATTAATTTGATCATCATTTAATATATAACTCTGAGCTTCTGAGTAGACAGTATGTAAAAATAAATGTTAAAAGATCAATAGAAGTAATCTATTTTTATTTTTCTTGCCACCTTGTAGTGGTAGCTATTTTGAGTGAAAATATTAAGAAAATAGGAAAATAAGGCTGGGCCCGGTGGCTCACGCCTGTAATCCTAGCTCTCTGGGAGGCCGAGGCAGGCGGATT